CATCTGGTGAAAATTTCATGTCATTAGCACCTCTAGTAATATATTTACTGAGAAAAATGTTGACGTGTTCAATAATTATTTTACACGCTGTATATAGCATTTTGATAACAAATGAAAGTTAGCTTTTTTTGCAGTGGGTATGAAAAACAACAAAAAAAAGTGATCTCCTGGTTGTTAGCTTCAAAGGCCCACTGAAGAGGGACCAAAWACCCACACGTGGCCCCAGAGCCACAGGTTGCAGACCCTTGCTCTGACTCATTTATTACTGTCATTAATTGTCAAAAACCCTTTATGTAACAACAAACCTCCTGAAGTTCTGTTCTGGATTTTGTGGCATGGTCTCCCCCACTTCTAGAAGTGCCACTTCCCATMAGACCTACAGTGTCAATAAGGTGGATAATTATACCTGAAGTAACAAAAACCAGGTACACAACTCCTGCTGAAGGATATGTGTTAAAGGCGTTGTGTTTCATGACATTACCTRGCCACCTCTGGCTCTTAAACTAAACTCAACCCTGATAAGATTAATCATCCACAAAACACGCACAAACAAAGCACAAACTGTGGAGTAACAATCTTGTAAAGGTTCTTAAAGGGTAAAATATTATTATATGAGATAATGATGGAAWCCATACAACACTATTTCTCTCTCTATTCCTCGGCCTCATTTGGCCTCAACATATGATCATTATTTAAACGTGTTTTTATCTGTATGCCCATCCAGTTGTTTCTCTCTTCCTGGTTGTCCTTATCTGCCACCTGATCCTCAGAGTTTAGAGTTACCATCCACACACACAAAGGCATGGAAGAGGAAGAGAGAGGGCACGGGCGGTTGACATTACTTTAGGCAAACAGGTGTGAGCTGGGAGGGAAATATTTGCTCGCTCTATTTGTATTTGTTCGACACACAAGAAGATAAAGAAGCTGGGTGGGCGATAACGTGGAATTTCTTAGTGAAGTGAAGCCTCTCGCTTCGGCTCGTTTTCACCTACTTTCCAGGTAAAAAAGGAGAAAGAACAGARGCCTTAATGAGTTTGCTGTGCTGTTAGGTTAGGAATTGTAGCCTTGTTCACACAACTCTGTGACACGATGAGCAGAATGTCAACATTCATCAGCAGATGAATGACTGAGAAATGTTGTCGTGTTTGTCTATGAATGCTGACTCATCCAATCAAATCGCAAACAGTTTAGTTTGTTCCCTCACCTTAATGAAATCTGAAATTATATATATA